GGAGGAGTCAGAAGAGAAGTTAGCCCAATAACTGCAATACTAGTTACCCAGCCATTACTTCTCAGACATCTCCAGATATTGGGATATTTTCCAGTGTGTTCCAGATCCACAATGATTCTCTCTCATCTCAGCAAGTGCTTTGCTTATTGATTTAGAAGCCATATAGCTGACTGCCTGCAACATGTTTAAAGTTGATCTGCTCTGAACTTCTTTCCGCCCCCCCCAGCAAACAACATAGAAATTTACCTCAAATAACTCCAATTTGCATGGCTGGTGGAGTGTTCAAATGTATACTTGAAACCTCACTTCCTGGGGCTGCTTTGTTAAAAAGCTTTGAGTCCAAAGTGGCAATGCTATTTAGCAGAGCTGCCCAAAATGATAGCTGCAGCTAAAACCAAGGCAGTTCCCACAGTACAGCAGCACAACTATTTAAAGATCTTTGCACAGAATGGCATCATGCAGGCAGTGCAAATGACTGCAAGACTGAATAAAACGGACACTGAATTGCCCTCTCAACCCATGGGAGGGGGACACTGGAAGGAATGCATGGAAAGAAGATTAAAATACAAACTGAGCTGGGGGAAGGGGAAGGGTCAAATGTACCAACCTTCCCTTCCCTTGCAACTATAGCTCATTACAAGGTACAACATCAATTTTAACTCCATGCCACAGACATCAACAGTCCCTGGTTTATTATTGTATGAATGACAGCAGAAAAGCAAGCTGTTAAAGTAGACATAAAAATAAATGTTAAAGAGAAGAACTACAGTTAGGGGCATACAAAAATGGAGCTAGCACCTTAACTGAACAGCAGGGATCCTGGTTTTCTCCGATCAAAAAAATCCACAATTTTCAGATTAAAAAAAGTAACCAAAATCCACATTTTTCCATGATCAAAATGATACACTACTATATATAATTAGTGGCATTTCATTTTAATCACAGAAAAATGTGGATTTTGAGTTACTTTTTTAAATCTGAAAATTGTGGATTTTTTTTTTTTTTAAACAGAGAAAACCAGGATCCCTGCTGAAGGCAGATATTACTTTAGGCATAGCTTTCAGCCAAACACACTTACAGCACAGTAGCTATTTCAAGTATCAAAAAAAAAAATCCATAAAATAAAAATGAAAGAATAAATATTTTATTTTCTGTGCACAGGGTTTTGAATTACTATAAAATCCATAAAGCAATTTCTCTTTCTGGATCCCAGCATTCAATGTCATTATGCTAATGTACATGACATGGAGTTCTGTTTCATTGCCAGTGGCCCTAAAGTATCATTCAGTACCTGAAGTGGCAATAAAGCTTGAGCTGCTTGTGACTTGCAAGAGTGGGCTTTGGAGCAACTCCGAACTCTACAGCTAGTTAAACCACAAGGAAATAAAGAAAAAGCACCCGTTTATTGGCTCGTGCCAATATTCAGTACAGATCTCTCCATTACCTTGTAAAAGAGAAACAAAACAAAACACTGTATGAAATGAAGGAGCAGGAAACCTGTACTTACCCACTCAGTGGAGGCATTCTGGTCTACCAGTCTGGTAGGAACACATCTTGGGTTCTCAGCCAAAGGAAGAGAAGACCCATAATGATGAACAGATCCCTCCCGTGGCCTCTCAAGGAAGAGCAGCTCTGGCTTCTTGGCCTTGCGGGTGCATTTTTTCTTTGGAGGCATCAAAAGGCTTGAGGAAGCCACTTGGAGACTTCATGATGCTTGCTGGAGCTAGTCAAGAGAAGAAGACTTCTCAACTACTCCCAGATCTGCAAAGAACAAACGGAGGGACCTGAAGCCACCAAGCAATCTTGAATTTCTTTTAAAAGTAATGCTTCTGATTGTGCCTAAGCTCTCTCAAAAGAACCGTTTCTAATGAAGACTGGAATAATAAATACACTGCTCTACAGACACAGAGCTAGGCTAGATACAAATTGATGACTTTTTCAGTTTAAGTTAGAAATGGCAACCTACATTAATCCCTACATTGTTGAAATCCTTTAAAACAAAAGAAAATAGTAATGTGGTGCACACTGCCCACCAACACTTTAATGTGAAACCACCAAACTAGGTGGCTACAGCAAAGTTTGCTGAAGTGCTGTGCCAGCTTGTGTGCGGGTTGCCTCTTCTGCAGATACAGAAGAGGCAACGGTCTTTTCTTTGGTCCAATCAGTTATTTATTTGTTCACGGCTGAGGAACCAAAGTAGACACTTCCTTCCCCAACCTACATATAAAAGCCGAGGTGGGTACGGCTGAGAGACACCCGTGCTCACGGTGCGGCCCCCGGACCTACAGCACCTGGCCGCGGGGCGTTCGGCTGCTGAGGAGCAAGTGGCCGTTAATGTCGCGCCGTTAATGTCGCCACGCCCCCGGCCCCGCCCTGCTGCCCATTTCCCTCATGCCCCTTTTCCCTCAGAGCCAAACGGGGCAGGGCCACACCTGCGTCCCCCTGTGCGGCCGGATCGGGGCAGCGACCCGCCCCTCCGCACGTCCTTCCTTTGCGGGAACGGGCCCGACCGCCCCGCGAGAGCCCCCAGCGCCAGCCGGCCCGGCCCGGGCCCTACCAACCCTTTGGGGAGGGAGGTCCTGCCCCCCGGTCCCGGCGTGGTGTCAGTTAGTTGAGCGCCCCCGGCGCCACCTGCCTCCGGGTCCGCACCCCCTCCCATCTGCGCGGAGCCGCCGCGAGCACTGATTGGCCGCGCCCTGGATGGAACGCTCGGGCGCCCTCCCATTGGCCGCGGCCGGCACGTGACGCCAACGAGCCGCCGAGCGCCAAATTCAAACGGAGACACGAACGGCGGCGCTGGGGGCAGCGCTTGGGCCCGGAAGCGGCC